AGTCCCACCCCTGCTCGCTGCATGCCCCCTACCTCCATCACTGGCTCTCCCCCACCTTCAATCACTTGCTGATTTTCACTAGCTTGGAGCAATGGACTGGATGTAACAAGTGGGTCCATGCTAGGCCAGGGGATGAGAGCTCCAGCTGGAGAGGGGGGGTATGGATTCTGGGGTCCTGCTGGACATGAGCTGTTTGGGATGCAGGAGGGGTTCTGAGGTTCAGGCAGTTCCCAGGAAATGGTCAGCATGCCCCTCTGGCTGTTAGGCAGAGTGGTGGTCAGAGGGCTCCACGTCCTGCTGCCAGCCACAGACACCGTCCTTGCAGGTCCCATTGGTGATGGTGCAGAGTTGGCACTTGGAGTGGTACCTGTGGGCAGGGGAAGCATGTGGAGCTCTGTGGCTACCTCTCCGTCTGGGAAACAACTGGACATGTCTGGTACTTTGTCTAGCCTGGTTTTAAATACTTCAGGCAATGAGACTTTGGTCACTTCCCTGGAAAGACTATTCCATAGTCTTAGAACATAAGGGCTTACATCTGGTCTGACCACCTGTAGGTCACAGGCCACCAACACCACCCAGCACCTGCACACTAAACCTAACAAGCAAAATGAGACCAAATTATCACAGCCCATAGGAGATTAAATTAATATGTGCTGCAGAGAGAGAATTGTGGGGACCAAGATGCACCAATGTTCATGACCCTCACAATGGCAGGAAAATGAGAAAGTAAAAGCTATCCAGATAATCATGGAAAGGGACTCACATCCAAATGCAGCAGAGGAAAGTGGAAAACCCCAAGCCACTGCCAATCTGCCTTGGGGAAGGATTCCTATCCAACCCCACATCTAGTGATCAGTTAGGTCCTGAGCATGTGAGCAAGGAGCAGCTAGCCAAGCTCTTCTTATATTGCCCCGGGAAGAAAACCAAGTGTAAATTAAATGGATTTATTATTAAAAATGTTTCCCACAGCAGGAAAGTGACTCTTTGGAACAGAATGGGCCCTTATTTTCTGCTATTCCCCCAGCCCGGTCAGAAAATAAAGAATAATATTAATTTTGTCCATTACAGTATTTGAATTTAGCTTCAGCAGCAGTCCCCAGCCAATGTAATTCATCACCAACTAGTTTTTTTTTTAATGAACTACAGGTTGAATCTCTCTGGTCTGGGACTCTCTGGTCCAGCAACATCCAGTAGGATCACAGATGTTGCCGAACCAGAGAGCCACTGGAAAAGAGAGGCTCTGGGCTTGGGGAAGTGTAGTCCCAGGGGCCGAGGGCAGCCCCAGGGCTGCGGAGTCTCAGCAGTTCTGGCCCCAGGGCTGCGGAGTCTGGCAACCCTGGGGCAGCTGAGTCCCAGCTGCCCTGGAGTTGGTGGTGAAGTTCAGTAGCCCAGGGCAGGGGAGCCCTGATGATCTGCTGACAGACCCCAGGAGAGCACAGAGTCTCTTAGCAGAGGAGCTGACCTCCCCTGGTTCAGCAAACTCTCTTCTTCAGGTACCTGAGGGTACCTGCCCAGGGAGATCCAATGTGCACTGTCCCTTTCTCCTTACATCAGGGATGGAAAGAAAGCAGGAGAAGAACTTGTTGAGAAGGAATTATTATCCACCAAGTCGCAGCTTCAGTTTGGGTAGGGATACAATTTCAAAGCATAAAAAGGGAATGTTATTAAGCTTTTCCTTCCCCAGGGACTATCACCAAAACACTTTTTTTTGCCTGCCACTGAGAACAACCATTTTTTCTCTTTCATTTCTGTTTTCTATCACACATTTCATTACAGCTGTCCTTTCTGTCTTTCAGCTTGGGACCTGGGCCGCCAATGCAGATAACTTGACAATAAAATGCCTGTATTATCGTTATATTTGTTTCTTCTTCCACCTGGCAAGGTAATTGCAACCCTAAAAGCTTTTGCATATTTACAGCAGAAACAGGTCTCCCCGGGAGGATGGAACTCTCATCAGGTGGAATATTTCATTTAATAAGTGTCTTCTGAGTTAAAAACTAGCTTTTTGTTTCTCTTTTCTTTTGGCCTCCTTTAGAGGAAAGGACAAATAGATAAAAATCGGTTGCTGCAGTGCTCACAGCTGTCAAAGTTCCTGTTACTGTGAAAATTAACTCTTCCCCACCTCCCAGCTCTGCTGGGCTTTGCCTGTAGTGCCTGAAAGCTGAAATATTTGGGGGAGAAGGGACTTGAAAAGCCCTCCCCTTGTAAAAGATGAACATGCTCCTTAGAAGCAGAGCAACTAATCTGCTTTTTTATAAGAAACAACTTTTGCGTCTAACCCATGAGCTGGGCATGCTGCCATGCCAGGCTTTGAGCAAATCAGTCATCAACAAGTCATTCTTTCACGGAAGTCATCATCATTTCAAGAAGTCACCATACCACTGTTTACTGCTATTTCAATGACTCATGACAACAGAGACGATTCATGAAACTGTCTACATGCAGCTGTCATCTGAAAATGAATTCTCTTTCTGTCTGTAACAGAAGTACCATAGTTCTAAAGCCCTGGAGTGCTCTGGGTCTAAGCAGCTGGGACAATAAGAAGGTTCTTGTGACAGAATATCTGCAGAGGAAAGTTTGCTTCCTTGAGCTAACACTCTGTCGCAACTTGCTGTGACACACTCCAAGGATGAAATTCACCCCCAAGGGGCTGCACAAATAATACCTCTTACCTAGCTCTTTTCATCAATAATCTCACATAGCACTTCACAATTTTTATCTTCCTAAACCACCACCACCCTCTTTGTCAGGCAGGGAAATGCTATTATCCTAAGTTTTTACAGATGGGGAACTGAGGGTCATGAGTCTAAGGGTCCAACTGGAAGTCCGTTGTGGGAAAGGGAATTGAATCCAGGTCTCCCAAGTGTGAGGCTAGAGTCCTAACCCTCTTTCCTCTCTATGCACAAGGACTAGATACTATCAAAGCCCTACATTACAGACTTAAGAAGAACTCAAATGGTGCATATGCCTGATGAGTGCTCTCTGTACAATTCTGAATTTCACCCTAAGACAGCACCTTCCTGTGGTTAAAGGGTAACAAGCACAATGAATAAAGATCAATAAACCTTAGCCAGGATGCCAATCCCAACCCCACCCAGAAATATAGACAATTCTCATTCATCCTTCTTAGGGTACATCTACACAGTACACTTATTTCAAAATAAGGTATTTTGGAATTTTTTTTCCTACACTACTGGAAAGCCTCAAACTTAGTCCAAGGCAGACTTCCCTAAGGTGGACGTGCTACTTAGATTTAGAGCCCCAAGAGGCACTGGGGAGTAATTACAGTAAAACTCCAATAGTCCAGCATCCAATAGTCCGGCACTCCTGATAGACTGGCATCAAAATGGCAAGAGCCTAGTGAGTAAGCTTCGGCAAAAAATGAGTGACAAGGTAAAAACGGCAGCAGCTGAACTGAGTGAAAAGGGTAAAAAAGGGTTAAAAAAACTAAAACATTACAGTATACTGTATACAGTATGTACAATAAAAAGGGTTAAGTATACTATATACGGTATATACATAACCAGCTTATAGTACCTCCTGATACTCCGGCATATCTGATAATCCGGCATCACCTAGGTCCCATAGGTTCCGGATTATCGGAAGTTTACTGTACTTTGAATGCCCTGGGAAAGCTCTATTTTGAAATAGCAGCAGTGGAGCGTCCACACTACTGCTATTCTGAAATAGCTATTTCGGAATCAGCATTATTCTTTGTGGAATGAGGTTTACAGATTTTGAAATAAACTGTCTGTTGTTTTGAAATTATTTCAAAATAACGGAATTGCTGCGTAGACACTCGCATTGTTATTTCGAAATAACATCAGTTATTTCGAAATAACTGTGCTGTGTAGACACACCCTTCCTGACTATGACATTAGCCAAAGTACAATCCAGACAGCTCTCAATTCTCCAGCCTGGAGAAAGTCTGTGGGGAGGGAAACGTTCAGCTGTTACTTTTCCAAAATGAACAGGCCACTTAACAAGGTGTTCTGTCATTAGGCATTGTTGGCACCTGGCTGAGTAGACAGTTTCCTCTTATCACTGAGGAACGGGTTTGTGCCTGTTTTTCTAAACTTGGAATATGTCTCAGTAATGTTATTTGGTAGAATCTTACAATTGTATATCCAATATTGCCACATACATTTTACCAGGACAATAATTATCAGCAAATTATAGTTTTCAAATGATATCTCACAAGACATACTTTGTACAAAACTGATCAGAGTCTTGTAAAAGGGGTGAACATAAGAGTAAAGACTGTCACATTGATTACATTTCAAACACTGGAAATAAATTAGCATTGATACAAAATTATATAGTAAAATGTGTGCCAGGATGGCCTGACCCACTGTCCACTGCAGTCAATGAGACTCTGTCTGTGGACTCCAGTGGGCTTTGCATCACGCTCAGAGCCCATGAAACTTATTATATCAAAGCAACTGTTGGATTTGTACAACTTCTTTTCAGGGTAGCACATTATTTATATAAAGTTCATTATTTCAGCCATAGAAAGAAGCAGGTAAAGCTGCTTACCCATATTTTGAATGCTAGTTCATTGTTTAGGGGTAAAAAACCAAACCAAACCAAACCTTTCTAAATTCACGCCCCTGTAGCTTCCATTGACTTTGATGGGAAATGCAGCAACTCAGCATCTCAGGATCTGGCTCACTCCAAGGAATCAGACACAGGCATGGGGGAGAATGTTTTTCTAAATTTTCTTGTCAGTTTTAACTGACACGCTCTTATTTTAATCAATCTTTTTTTGAAGGTTATCTGCAAGTTAACAATGGTTGTTAACCCATGAAACCCCAAGACATTAGCTTCCTTTTCTTTCATTTTGTCAATGAACACACTGTTCATCATGAGAGCCTAACCATCACAATTCAGGATTCAGAGCAGATAGAAAAGATGACAAGCAAAAGCAGCTGACCACAGATGTGTTTATAGGATGGAAAAAATTCCATCTTCGTTAACATTATTTGACACAACTCTCTTACCTGTAATATCTGGATTGAAGGTAGGTTGAACACACAGCTTTAGACACATGGCTAGCTGAACCAAAGTCTATGACTTTGACTCTGTATGGTTGTCGGGATGGATCTACCAACATGATGTTCTCTGGCTTGAGATCTGCATGAATCAGTCCCAAGCTTTTCAGCTTCATTAGGGCTGTTGCTACTTGCTGGAGGATTGGCCGGATGTACTTAAGGGGCAATGGGCTGAATTTGTTTTGCTTTAGAAAATCATAAAGGTTCTGCTCCAACATTTCAAAGACCAAGCAAGTGTGATTTTTGTGCTGGAAGCATTCATAGGCTCGGACAAAGTTGTAATCATCTGCACTTTCTGTGCTCAGCCGGGCCAGGATGCTCACTTCAATCTGACCTTGTCGGGCATAGGAAGGATGGTTCTTCAGGATCTTGATAGCTACAATCTCATTAGTGCCACGTTTCCAGCATTTGACCACTTGCCCAAAGGTTCCCCGGCCAAGAAATTCTAATACTTCATATGTGTTGGTCATGGAACATAGCACTTCATGTTGCACCAGCTGGTAATCCCCTTCGCTGTTGGAGCCACTGTTTTTGGATGTGGCAGTGGATGTGGTGGCAGTGGCTACAGTGGCCCCACTGGCATTATTCTGAATCATTGGTGGATGCTCTTCAATTATCTGTACGCTGCTTGTGTTCTCAATTTCCTCACTCTTACGTTTAAGTCCACATTTTTGGTAGGTGTCCAGAAGGCTCACAGTGCTTCGACGCATCAGGTTGTGAGGTCCGCCCAATGCTTGCCCAGACACTGCAACCACACCGGAAGTGCTGCTGGCAGATGTCACCACAATGTGCCCTGTGCTTGCTGGAAAGATGATGGTCTGTTCGTAAGGGATACTGGGGTTGGGAATCTGGAGGGAGGCATTGACTGCTGCTGCTGCTGCTTGAGAAGATTGCAAGTTCTTGGTCTGGCTGTAGACTTTGCTATGTGTGCCGTACCCGGTCATATCCCAGTTAGAACTCGGTTCCACTTTCAGTTTCTTCACACTACAGAAGGCACTTGATTGAAGGGTGTGAGGGGAGAATACTTGCACATGTGAGGCCATACCTGCAGAATAACATTTAAAGAAACTATCATGTCAAAATATCTTTCCAAGCCTTTTATTCATTTCAGTTGCAATAAGGGGAAATGAGATAATGGGGAGGGAAACCTCAGGAACAGCAAGAAAATGATCAGGCTTGGACAAACTGAGAGACATGTTCATTGCAAATAAAGCACAGTACAGTAAAACAAAGGGTTAGTGCTAACTGAATCATGTATACTAAGAATGACCATTATTCTCCCTCTCTCCTTTTTTATAACAATAACTTAAGGAACAGATTTACCTCTTGTGGCTCACCATCCTTCTGGTCCCATTGTCTCCAGCAACAACTTAGCATTGATGGAGAGATGGTGTAGTGGGGTACCGCAACAGTCTTTTACCTCCGCAGACTAAAGTTCAACCCCTGATATATGTCAAACATGAAATAGTTTGGGTGGGTCTCACTCAAGTCCTCCTCTGTACACAAAACCATTGTACCATTCATGTTTTCTGCTCAGTGGAAGTCTAGGATGAGAACAGGGAGTGGTGTTGAAAGTCAGAATTGAGGTGAGCAGACAGAGTAGTTTAGGGACCCGGGACTGGAATAACTGGTGATGTTTGAAGTCATAACTGAAATCCCTTGCCAGATCTGTATGTGGGAATCTTGAATATAATGCTTGTCAGTAAAGACAGGCATTGTGCAAAGATTACCCTTAGCTCTTGCTATCAGTTCCCCAGTTTCATAAATCATAGTGGACCATGTTCACATTCAGACTTTGTAGTACAGGTTGAGCCTTTCTGGTCTGGGACTCTCATCTGGCAACATCCCTGGTCCGGCAGGACAATGGATGTTGCTGAACCACAGAGCCCCTTTTGACCAAAATGCCCCAGTGACAGAGGCTGACAATGGCTGGGAGCTGAGCCAGCCGGCAGAGTCCGCAGAGCAGCAGAGCCAGTGGGGCCGCTGCAGCCAGCGGGGCAACAGAGCCTGTGGATCTGGTGGGGAAGTGGGGATGGTGGGGCAGCAAAGCCTGGAGGCTGGGGAGGGGAACCCAGCAGGGAGGCTTGTGTTCCCCAAGAGCCTGGAAGCCTGACTTCCCCTGGTCCAGCAAATTACCTTGTCCGGGACTGCTCAGGTCCTGAGAGTGCCAGACCAGAGAGGTCCAACCTGTATAATAACCCTCCCTAATGTAGGAATAAGGTAACATTTGACATGAGGAAGAGAGTAGCAGAATGTAGCCCTAAATTAAAACAAATTTAAAAAAAAAAAGACAAAAAATTATTCCCCTGCAACTTTTTTCTTTGAATGTAAAATGCTAACAATCTTCAGGTATTTATACAAACAACAAAAAGAACCAATTACTCAGGGTACTTAAAAAAGCCACAAACTAAATAATGTGGTTCAAAAGGCACCGAGGTGGGAAACCCCCGGAGATCCACAGAAGGTGGAAGTTCAAGTGCAGAACTTCTTCCACGTTTCTCCTCCCAGAATAGAGACTGTAGGGCTGGCAAATCTTTGTTTTGTAATATACCTCAAGAATGACAGGGAAAGAAATAAACCAATATGATCTCTGGCCATAGCTGAATTTTAAGAGTAAACATACCTTGATTTGTTTTTAGTTTAAAAGGAAATAGTTGGAGGCTGAATGTTATAGTAACAAAAACACAGCAAAATTGACAACACATACACAGATGACCCGAAGCATCTTCCCAGGTGGGTGAACTGAGTGCACAACTCTCATCTTTTTTTCCCCTCCTAATTTCTGACAGAAACCAGCTCTCTTCTTGCCCATTCCCGGGTGTGTTGCTATGTTGTATAATCCTTTTATGTACATGTGTACATAGTCATGCATATATATATATATATATATATATAGTTACTTCCTAGTTTCAAAGCTGATTAGCACTGAAAAAAGGTATCAGTGAAGCAAACATACACACACGCACAAACATACACACACACACACACGCAGAAATCTTTCAGTTAATTCCCAGCCACCAGAACCCAGGAACCTCTTATGGAACAGTTGAAGTGAACTGAAAGTGCATGTAAATGACTTGCATTCCGGTTTTTCCAGAATTCCTATATTCAGCCCTGCAGCCCCAAGCAGCTTTTAAAGATACAGCAGTCTCAGAAACAACCTCCCCAATACCCAAACCTGCTGGTAAATCAATACAGACTGCTCTTGTCTACTGGTGTGGCCCCTAGCTTTAATGTGATTTTCTGCATTGCTTGCTCACATTTGTATAAAACAAAACAACCTGTTACCTAGTCTCCAGGTCCTGTACCCAGTCTCCAGGGCCCTTTCGGCCCTGCTCCCACAGTGCCTACTCTCTCCCACAGGGTGACCATGTTGCCATGAATGACTTAGCATATGGTACACAATGAGCTCAGAGAACTGCAGCAGAATTACTCAACTTTATCATCCTGTACACCAGTCTCATATGTGAAGCAGAGGCAATGTTTGTTTTTCCATTAATTAAAAAGAGTCACAGTGTTCTTTCTTCTAGTGACCTTTCTAGAGTAGTGGAGTGGTTGGATGCATGTTTTCCCCTTGGCCATGAATAATAAAGCAGATTCATTTGGTAATATATTGTGGATCTAGTAAAGGTGTGATTTATAGCTTTATGGCTTTCATTCCAGGGTGCTTGCTTACCATCCCTATGTTTAAAAAACCTGACACCCAGTGGTGCTAGAACAATTTTTTTTGAAGGGGTGGGCGGGGGGGGCTGAGCTGCTTATGCCTGTCTGCTCTCCTCAGTACCCCAGGCAGGGGCCACAGCTCAGAACACCCGAGGAGCCCTGGCCCATGGCTTGGAGCAAGGTCAGAGGTCAGCAGTGGGGCCAGTGTCTGGGACCCCGAGGAAGGGATGGGGGCTGGAAGCTGGGACCCTCAGGGCAGTAGTAGAGCCCCCAGGTACAGGGCCAGCAGCTGAGATGCTGGCTGATAGCAGGGCTTATGTGCACAAGCTGGAAGCTGGGATATTGATGTAAGGCTCTGCCAGGCACAAAGACTGGAGGTGCTACACCCACTCCCTCCCCCCCCCCCGACATTCCTATTTCCCATGCCTCTGCAGAGACTAGGAAAGTGAGAGCCGTAAGAGCAATCCTTAAACATAACTCTAAATGATATAGTCACCCCAAAATTACAGCCACTGATACAAAGCATGTCAGCTGTAATTATCAAAGTCAGTGGTCCTCAACGTCTTTTTGCTCAGGAACCATTTGTAAACCTTGATGGCCTCTCGAAGCCCAGTGAACAGCTTGAGTGCAAATAACATCTGGCTCACTAAACATTCCTTACCCATGATAAGCAATATACACTTTGATGTAATAAGTGCTAAATAAAGACACCACGTGTACCACAGAGGCAGCTCCTGCACCTCCTATCCTGCAGCACTGGCTGGGCTCAACTCCCTGAGGCACACACTGCAACTTCTGGGGTTGCAAAACCACTCAGATTTGGCCTGGGTGTGGGTGTGGGGGTGTGTGCACGCGCTCATGTGCGTTGTGACCTGACCTGACCTGCCACATGGGGTCACAGAGCCGCTCAGTACAGTTTGGACAGCCGCTTTCCCCATCATCATGATAGAGGGGCAGCTTGTCCAAAGCTAAGCAGCACTGTGACTCCTTGCACCAGGTTGCAACACCTGAAGCAGGAGCTGAGCCCAACCAGCCCCCAGGGACCAGAGACATAGGAGCCATGAGTGAAGAAGTAGTGTGGATGTGCGCTCTGCAAGCCCCGTCAGTCTCCCATACCCGAGGGCAGGACCTGACATCCATCCCCAGGCCTTTCATGCAACCCTTTGACAAATTCTGGTGAGTCAATTCTGGATTGTGACCCATGAGTTCAGAAACCCTGATCTACTGTAATTAATAGCCATCATTAAAGGATAGATCCCTATTCGTGTAAATTGACATAGCTCCATTGACTTCAGTGGAATTTTACATTCTCTGATGATGTGTCCTGATACCAACCAGGGTTAAACGGTCACTGAAAAAGTGCTGATGTCAGATTGCTGTCTGTGCCCTTGAGTGAAATAAGTTGGTGGTCTCCGTTCCATTTTCCCTGGAGACAAATGCTCATTTAAAAACCTTCTGCACCAGACCCCCTTCTTGGTAGTCTCTACAGAGAGAACAAACACCAAATGAGCATAAAAACTGAACGACACTGTCACCACAAAACCACGTCCCTTAGATAAAAGCTGTGGAGGAAAAACTGTGGCTGTCTACGCTGTGTTTGAATTCCAGCTAAACAGAAGGCTATGAACTCTAGCAGTGTCTTTTTCTCTCCATGAGCTACAACCAGGCCCGGCCTTAGGGCAAGAAGAGCGAGGTGGTTGCCTTGGGCCTTGCGCATTCAGGGCCCTGCACTACCCGGCTCCCAGCCCCGTCCACCCGGCTGCTCACTTGCTGCCCTGACTGGGAGCCGCATGGCTGTGTGGCTCAGTAACGCTGCCTTGGGCCCCGCAACCTCTTTGTCTGGGCCTGGGTACAACTGTTGCTAAGATACTGGCTTAAGAGCCTACTGTACCCCTTTCAGGAGTCTGATTTGTCTTTGCGTAGTCCCATGTTTCACCTCACTTAATAACTACTTGCTTGCAAAATCAGACATAAAATACTGGAGTGTCACAGCACACTATTACTGACAAATTGCTTACTTTTTCATTTTTACCTTATAATTATGAAATAAGTCAATCTGAATATAAATATTGTACTTGCATTTCAGTGTATGGTAGATAAAGCAATATGAACAAGGCATATGAAGTTTTAGTTTGTACTGACTTCGCTAGTGCTTTTATGTAGCTTATTGTAAAACTAGGCAAATATCTAGATAAGTTGCTGCACCCCCTGGAAGACCTCTGCGTACTCCCATATGCGTACCCGGGTTGAGAATCACTGCAAAAGAAGACCTCTTTTAAAAGAAATATTAAATCTCCTCCCTTTGCTGAAATGATTTTCTCACAGCTGATGTTTTGGGGACCCATGGCATAAGAAGGATGGCTTGGCTATCTGCTCAGTGAA